TTTTTTGACCGACAAGATGGTATTGTTCTTAAAAAATAAATGTTTGAAAATGGACCTCTACATATAAGTCGTGAGTCTCGTGACTCATAATCATAATACAAATTATCAATCGATACCAAATCTTTACCTAATCATTAGCTCACTCTATAAGACTACAAGATTTTTGGCAATAATAACACAGTGATCATTTATTCTTCAAAAATTGTTGTCCAAAATTCCAAAGGTACAAATACAATGAGAAAATCCTCGAACACATGTTAAACCTTTTATCTCACAACCCGTATTTTACAAATTAAAATGCCAAAAAGTCAAAAACAGTTTAGTAAACCCGGAATAGCAAAACAACCTTTTTTTTTTTTTTTTTTCGTCCCTCCATGGCTCCATCTTCCACCACCTCCTCCACTCTCCAAATTATTTTTATACTTTTTTTTTTTTTTTTTTTTTTTTTTTCAAAGAATAGAACACTAGTGATCGTCAATCATTAAATGTGAGTTTGGTGATAAGAGAGACAAAATCCCTTAACTAGACAAGGCAATCTCATGGAATGGACCTTGTCTTTTTATTTTTTCTATTGAATTTTTTTTTTGTTTGTGTTTTTCTCATGATTTAATTAATAGTAGCAAACTATATTATTACAAATTTAAAAAATTTAAAAGTAATTTACAATTATATTTTTTTAAAATATATTTTACAAATTGTACCAAAAAACATTAACTGGTGGATAAAACGTGAAGTCTTCGCCGGTTAATAACAAATCTCACTAATTATAAAATTGAGGTATTTACAAGTTATATATAATGAATTATAAAATACTAATTTTTAAAGTTTATTATGTATAAAATTAATAAAAAATTTAATATTTTATAATTTAAATTATACTAAATTATAAATTTTAAGTATTAAATGGAGAGACTTATAGTTTTTACTCATTATTAGATATTTAATAATTAATATTTTATGATCAGACAGTAAAAACACCTTTTTTTTATTATAGTTATGAAAAATGTGGACTGTGGAGAGAATGAATGAACGACTTGGACTTCATCTGTTCATCCATTTGGTCACGGGTAACACGTGCACGGTGCACACCTGACAGCACACGCTAGGACCCATATTAAAGTCCATTTCAATTAAAGAAATTTTTAATTCATCTTATCGTTGATTACATAAAATGTTATTAATTTATTTAATTTGTTTAATTTTATTAACTTATAATTATTAAAATAATTTTTAAAAAATCAATTTATAAATTAATTTTAAATTATTAAATAATAAATATTAATTATTTTATTTATTATTAATTAAAATTATAAACTAATTTCAAATTATATTCCACAATCAAATTCGATGAACTTAAATTAATTTTTCGTGCTCTTAACAATTATGAAGCTGGCGATAACTATGCCCCTTACTTCTTCTATTTTGATATTTTTCGATCCTTCCCCGAATCCTGACCTGGCACAAAAGCACCAAAAAAATTCTAAAATATCACGTCATTGCAGTAACAATTTAGTGATTTAAATAAAAAAATTTAATTTTTTAAAAAATAAAAATTTAAATTTAAATTATATAAATAAAAAAATAATTATTAAGAGAACAATCTTATAAAATTCAACATTATTTAATTACTCGATATGGTTATCTGTTT